CAGGCAGTGTCCATTTGACCGAAACGCTTGAAAAAATTAATACATGAGGATTAATACATGATGAACTCCATTAGGAAATAAATAAATAATTTATTTCCTAATGGAGTTACCACCGTAAAGTGTATGCACCCACAGGAAATGTTTGTTTGCCAAATAGATACTGTGACGAAATGTGTCATCCGTTTTTAATTAATCGTTAATAACTACAATTACTTACCTAATTACACATTGAGTTGCGTCAACGGAAAAATATGTACATAAATTGTATGTAGTTTTCTAACTTACAAACAGAACTTTAACTACTACACACTATTTGATAGTTAACTAGAACTATATAAAAACAACAAATAGAATTAAGTGAAATTAGGTCTAAATTTAAAACTCAAGAATACAAAATTTGTTAGCAACAAAAGTGCAAACATATAGTCCAAGAGTACCTATTATAGCAATAACGTAGGTATCGTGCAATGTAATGATAATAGAGGCGTGTAGGGAAGGTGTATGGCAGCTCGCATGGCTTCATTCACCCGTGACCGCAGGTGCGGGTCACGGACGGTGCTCCGCCGCCGGTACTACCGGCCGTATTGTGTAGTGTTGTCAACAAAGTTCTTTTTATTTTTTTATTATTATAAATAGGTTTACGCTCGGTCGTACCTCATCTGGTGGTAAATGATGGTAAGATCTAGGATGTAGCGCCCTTACTCATAAGAAATCAATTCATCATAGACTTGAAGAATTCGGCGTTGTATTTTTCCGGGATCACAAAAGCTGGAAGTGTGTTCCACTCTTTGGCAGTGCATATTAGAAAGGATGACGCGAACCGCTCAGTGCGAATATGTGGAATTTCCACGAAGTACGGATGAAGTCCTATATTGTTCGTCGTGTAGTTCGGTGGTAAAATTACAAGGAGACATTCTAAAAAATAATAATGTAAGAAATTCTAGTCGCTTATAAACTATTTCACGTATAACTCGACATAAGCAGCATGAAAAAATATATAAAATATTTAAACTTAACGTTAAGAAATGAGGAGAAATATTATTTATTTATTCAGACCTTCTTACAAAAATCTTTGATATTGAAGCTATACACAATATATTCTTGTTTTTATATATTGTGCATGTAGTTGGTTTCTAAATAATTAAATATGTTAGCTGGAGCATCGCAGACAGCTAAGTAAGTCGCAAGTGTCGCAATCTGCGCTGAACCGGAACTCCTTACCGCTGTTTCCGACTGCAGTTGCACTCGCAGTTGCAAGACTATATCTATAGAACGTCTTCGAGTAATCTTTTTGGAACAATATTTTCTCTTACAATAGTATATAGTAATTTCTTTTATAATAATAATAGGCTTGGACAATTTCAGCGCCAGAAGCGCCATCATATCTCAAGCTAACATAGCTTGTGTTATGGGTACTAGACAACTGACAGAAGTACATATTTTTTTTTCTAAATACATACATAAAATAACAGAAAACTTCGAAACCAATACAAATAATCATACACATGAATACAAATGTTTCTAGCGTGTAAGGAATAGAACCTACGACCATAGGAAATGGAGCGTTGTGCTAAATCGCTAGACCACCGAGGCCGTCGGAATAACTAAACGAGATGGACGTTTAGACCTATCACATAATCTTCTTTACAAGTCATTGGTGGCAGTTGCTCAGCCGAGAAATGATCGATAGCAAAGCAATTTATGGTTTGTAGTCGAGAACTGGCCACCTGAGCTGCATTTTGATTGGCATCTGTTCAATTTCACAGCGAACAAGCCAGGCAAGATAAACCATAGTTTGTGTTTTTTTTATATTAATCGCATATTTTTATTGAAATAACTACGGCAATAGTAGAAAACTCTTTTAAATGCAAAATTACTAATAAAAAATCATGTGAATTGATAGAGATATCGCGTACACTCAAATCCAGTCTAATTGAGAACATCCATCTTTTTAAAATCTATTAAAATTAATAGAACTATAAATACATTTCGTGCTACCCAATTACATCTTAAAATATAAGGAAACCCAGACACTATAATCACAAGCCGTGTTAGTTTTTATGTTAGTTTTTGGTTGCTTTCTCTTCTCTGTACATACAATACAAAATAATTATTATGAAAACGATTTCGTTTGAACGACAATGATGTTTTCATAAGTTGTAGCCTTGGTCGTAATTATCTACTGTACAGATTAAATAATAGTCTCAGTATTATCGTGACTTATTGTTTTCTTTCTATAAATTGTTAATAATCTGTGAATAAACTGGGGTGCTGTCAATGACGAGCTTAGCCTTAATATATATTAGGTAGAAAGTAGTAGTAAGTACCTACTATAATCTTAAATTTTATGAATATTTAACATATTTTTGATGGATGGATATGGAACTGTCATACGCCTGTGGTAACGGCATTTGTTATCAGAACATTAGTGTAGGAACATTGTTGTGAATATGCTAGAAATTAACCACTATGGTTTTCTAGATGGAGTTCGTGGAGATCTACCTAACATTCACAATTGATCAATTGGAAGTTATTATAATTTGGGAATTTGTTATATATAACGTGTCGAATAATCGTGAAGTTGTATCGAAATCAACCTTAGGGAGTATATACATTACTATAAACAGGATCAGTTATATTTATTAAAAATGTACCACTTTCTGATATTTTTCCCCAACCAAAAGGTTGTCTGGAAAAAGATTGCTTTAGCGACAAGACTGTGTTTTGTATCTTAATTACTCTGTTAAGTATAATTCTTGTAGTACATACTCGGTACAACAAAGAGTTAATAAATAAACTAAATAATGTTAATAATCCAGTAACTATTTAAAATAACATTCGGTTTTACAAATGATTATACCAAAATACACATAATGTAACGGGATATTAATCGTGATTTTCTTTTTCTTGTCATCATAATATCTTCTCTGGAATCTCAAAATAACCACATCATTAATCCATCAACGACCGTGTAATCCAAACGTTGTTCTAAACTGATCAAATTACGTTGCTTGCTGAAATAATACCTTAAAACACGTAAGAGGGCGATTATAGCCATCGTGTAATACTTGTTTATTGAGCAATAAAGTTGAGAATCGAATATTTTGTAGAGGTACATAAGTGATTCATTGTGTACGTAGTACCTAACGTAGTACCCCAACCGGGAGATGAACGGCCTGCGGATAAAGAACTTCCGTCGTGATTAGTTCCGCTGCTCACTTACACGTGGTCATTTGGAAATATGTATGTGCAGGCGCACGTATACTTATATAGTAATTGGGGTTATCTACTGTCAACCGTAATCGTGACATCCTTCATAAGCTCAATTCTTAAATATTAATAGCTTAAAATTCTTTACCTACCTTATATTATGTATGTAGGTACACGACTTAAATTTTAAAAGTCATAATTTCATTTTCGTCTATTTATTAAGTATTTAATCTGATTATAATAAAATGTGAATATTATCGAGAAAAATAAAAAGGCATAACTCAGCAGTAACCAAAGCCTATGGGTAGGTACTAAACAACTATTAATAATGGATTTATTTATAATATTTTTATTTTGTATTATAGTTACCTAAATAATTTATTACTTTTTGTTTGATTTTTACGTCATACGTCTTGCACTATTTAGAAAAAATACGTTTGACTTCCCTGTCACGGAACCCAGCTCTCCATATCCAGAGAGAAAAAGCCGTAATCCATATCGTAGCAACTTGATCACGACTTGGCAACATGCATATGTGAACTACGTAGGTATACCATATAGGTACTTGTTTCACGTTTCTCGTCGGGTTTTTCTTTTTACACTCAACGTTTGTACTTCGGGTTTTTTAATATTTCACGTACAACTAAGATGCTCTTCAAAGTGTAATGCATATAGGTACTTATAAATACTTTTAGGTAAAAAACGACGAGACTAGCATGTCGTATTAAACGGAATATTGTTATTTATTTAGTGTTCACATTGCTATAAAGATCTTAATAAACATATGACAAAGAATTACTTAATAAGATCTTTAGTAGATTTACCACATATTACCACCTAGTAATACTATCACAGATAAGGTAAATAGTAATAAAATTAGACTAGTTTTACCTGTCTAGTAGACTACTGTAAAATGTAGTTATGAAATATATAAATTAACGTATTAGGATATAATTATTATGTTCATCTAGAGTATCTAAATAATACTCAATATGAAGATGAGACTTTACGGAAAAAAATGTCTAATAACATCAAAATTATCAAGTTATTAATATTAAGAACTAACACTCTAGTCTAGTTTCATGAAAATTTTTATTTTTTAGCAATTATTAATTAGTATTTTCGTGCAGATAGTCACTTTTTAGATTTCTTTTCAATGTTATTATAATAGAACTGTACTCAATTCTCGTAAATACAATAAGATTTTTTTTTGTATTGAAAGTCTTCTCCAAGTAAATTTTAAGTTGTGTAACTAATAAGATAAATGCGGTTCTATTACTGAACAAAATTAAACGTTGTATTGAACGCTGTAAGTAAATTAAACAATGATGATGACCTTGTTTTCAAGAAACCAATATGCATATTACGAACAATGAAAACGACTGCCATTAATGAACAATAGGGAGTTAAGAAATCTACTGATTTGCTTACTAACTTACTACCACTGCCGTTTAGTAAATGTGCAATACAACAATAAATACTGCATCCCTATAAGATTTCTTAACTGATCTCTTACTAGAATAATTTCTTTCTAGAGATGCCGATAGGAGCAATATTCATTAACTCGAGGAACTACCGATAGATAGAAAACATATTTATAAAAAAAAAAGACATAATCTTTGCATAATAGATATAAAATGAAGTCACTTGTTCACCGTTTTCTTGACTGATTGATTCTACATAGTTATATTTAAATACAATTTTATGTACTGTGAGCTGTACCTAAACAGGCTTAAGCTTACCGTGTCTGAAACCTTGAAACAAAATAAAATAATAATGCTTTGTTACAGATCGGGTCGGTGTCCACATGCCGTCGTCATCATGGTGATCGTTACTAGGGTGAGTGTAACCACAGACAATAACATCTACTACACTATTACTAAGACACATTTTCATAGTGTAACGTGAATGAATCATTCATAATTTGAAACCATGCTCTTGTTGGTGGAGGTCTTGCCACCTTCCAAGATCTTCCATCATCCTCTTTATTTGTTAATACGACGCGACTCCAATTCAATAGGATACGTGAATGCATCATAATTAAAATAAAATCCTCATTTTTATAAATTCGTACATAGTATGTGGTACAAAGACAGCTTATTTGATTTAGTATAAATAAAAAGAAATCAGAATAACATTTACGTATATTATCTCTTAGAACATAGTTACCGGTATAAGGTACATATAAGTACAATAACAAAAATTTTTATTTTATATGAATACTGAATGTATTCACCTATTTTTTTATGGGTGAATAAGGATACCTTTTGTTTATAGAATGTACTATATTCTGAGCTATAGTAAAGGTATATGCTAACATGACCAGTGGATGATGATAAAATGAACATCAAATCAGTTAGTCCTTCGTGAACTATTCACCACGATGGTTTTGCAGAGAGGCCGTAATAAGGTCAACCTGATTTGGTACATTACTAACACTAGTCTTTGGAAATTAGCGTTTTCCTCGTATTTTCATTTTGCTTTATATTTCACTTATGAGTTAAATGTACCTATTTATTTAAAAAATTATATTCTACAAATTAAAATAATAAGTTTAGGTTTTATTATATCTATTGTTAAAGTTTATTGTTTAACCGCCTATGTAGATAAAAAAGTATAAAAACACATAGCTTTCACCGGTTGAATGAAGGAGATTTAATGTCAACAAACAATAATGGTGTTTGACCAACGTGACATAATGTTTTCTGATTGGTGTTCATTGACTACCAAATTTTGCCTTATTTATTTTTATTCCTCCATAATGTCAAGACAAAACTTCAGCAGGTAGTTCATTCCATTCAACAGGTAGTTTATTCCATATTCTAAGTGTTCCACAAAATAATAGCTCTATAGAAATATTTTTGTTTACTGTGATTTCTATATTGCGATTAATCGTTCGTTCGTTCATCCATTTGAAAAGCCTATTAAACCTAAAGCCTATTATAAAAAAACGTATGAAAATTACACATATGATAGTCGGTAAGTGGCCACCACATAATAATAGTGACAAGTTCAAGGTCTATCGCTTAAGACAATGAATCTTGAAAGCACTCGGCGTGAAATATTATGTAAACAGTGGTTTCGTAATTTTTCGACCTGCCATCGTATACTTAGGGTTTCGAACTGAAAAGTCGGTCAATTGGAGCGTTATTTTTCTATTTTGTGGCAGTTTGTTGGATTTCTGGTTCTTTAATTTTTTGTTATCTGTGGCTTCTTGAGTTTATTTTAATTCATCATATTTTTATGCTATATGCAATAAAGAACCATACTGACATCAGAGTATCATGTGATACTCGCGATACTGCTGTTACAGACTACTAAGTGGCATGTCTCTTATCCTATACCTAATTTCATTATAAGAGTATCACCAAATACAATGGCGGAATAACAATCATTTTACAATATAAGTTGTTTTAGTGTGAAATCGCATTATCACCTTTAAATCTGAAGGTCAATTATTTTTTATAGAAAAATTATTAACTCGGGTCGTTTTAATAACGTCAAAAAATTCAGTGGTTTTCCTCTCAAATAAAAGTATCAAATTAAACTTTTATTGAGTATATTTAATATAATTAATATTATGATTTTTTTTTAAATAGAGATATAATATTAGGTCTCCTTTATAAGATTTTAATAGAAATAATCTTCATTCAAATAAATTAAGCAGTTTGAACAAAAAGCTTGCATGTGTTGCTCTTTTAAAGAAATGTTAAGAATTCAATTTCATGAGAATTTTGGACAAACTATAGCATATGATCTGTTCGATGTAGGTTGTTTGCTTCTAGAATAATATAAATCTAAAACTAATTTACAATTTAATCGAATGCCTATTAGAGTCACAGACAAGCTAGAATATAATCTGTTGTGTTAAAATAATAATAATACGAACACGTTGACATGCACAGCCTCAAACGTATACGATTTGAACGCACCCTAATTTTTGGCGAAGGTGAAGGTGAAATTTTGAAGACTCTCACTTTGAACGTGCGCAAGTTACAATAAAGTGTAGAAATTTTAATATTCTCACAGCATACAGGCGCCTACTGTTTCAAAGTGATAACAGTAAAACAGACACTAATGCACATGGGAATTAAACTGGTGACATTATTATTTGGGAATTTTAATTTCTTGTGTTTCCACAGTTGTTGATTAAAATAAAAAATTATACTTACGTACTTAATGTTTTACTGACCTCAATTATGCTTCAACTTCTCAATTTGATAATTCGCATTATCACCTTTAAATCTGAAGCGACTTTTGAAATTATTTTTTATAGAAAAATTATTAACCAATAGTTGTATGTGAGTAGGTAGGTACGTACTTTCAATAGAATTCTTAAGATTCCTTTGTAAGCTCGCTTGTTAAGAAGAAAGTCAGTGTTTTTGTAACAAATTTTTTAAAGAAATATTTAGCTGAGGCGGATTATTCCTAAATCGAATTTATTTCGCCACAAACTTTACAATTATAAGATCAGAAAACAACATAACAATTTCTGACTTCAGCAATGAACATAAGATTATCGTCGGTATGTATTGAAACGAGAATTGTCTGATAATCAAATATATTTTCTAAAGTCCTCCCAATCGTACGTCGTAATTGTCGTATCAGTATATAGTCAATAGTTCTGTCTGTAGTAATATGTCTTATAAGCGGCCAACAAGCATTCTTGTCAAAGATGCCGCAACAACCAAGATGTTTACTTTGCGGTACAGAGATATTTGCATACATAAGTAAACTAAAATGTGTCTGTTACACACATACAAACACTTTGTCACTTTCTCACACATTTAGTCAGCGTTTATAATTTCTAATAATCTGGAAATACTACCAACAGTAGATATCACAAACTCTGTCAAGGACGAAACAAAAGAACGACTAAACTGATGATAATTTGAATGAAATTTGTCGTGAATATAGATCAGATCAAGTGGACAGGTCCTATTTTACCTAAATAAAAGCTAAACAAAATCGCGAGTAACAACTAGTTTTACGTAAAAAAATGGAGGATAGTGTGTCAACTCTTTTGATATCAACATCCCGTTTAGTGGAATGACACATTTTCTCGGCGAGTTCCGATCGGTGCGTTTGGCAAGAGCACATTCCGCCAGTCTGCTTCTGCGTCCAGTCCCAAGAGGGCATTCACCTCGCCGGCCATACACAGCACTGACGTTACACACGCTGTAACTAGGATGACCAATTCTGATTATAAGTTTTTCAGGAATAAATGGTAAGTAAAGAAATATCGGAATGCTAGAAAAACGTTTTTAATAATGCTTCACCTAAAAAGTCAAAATCGGTATTTATACTACTACTAACATTACAAATAATTACTACTATTAAAATAAAGTTAGCCTTTCTGGCGTCTGATCATCCGTGTCATAGTAGTAAGATCTACATTACTGTCAAATTGAAATAATAATAGGTACCTAAAAAACTATTGTACATGCATACCCGCTTTTATTCTTAGTATGTCCAACCGATCATCTGCCGCTATACCTGCTGAAATGTAAAATTTACGCATAAACTCGCTGAAAACCAGCATTAATCGCATCATGCCAGTCGCTTCGTTGGACCAGAGTAATGGGAATTGAAACCGGGACACCCTGGTTTTTTATGGATAATAATGGAATGGTACTACTAATGGTTTATGCAGGTGGGTCACCAATGGAGTATAATAAGATGAGCATCAGGTTTGGTCGGTTAGCCCATCGTGACAAATTCATCAAGAATTTATAACGATGGTTTCCAAGGGGAACCGTGTGGAGGTCAACTTGACGGTCAATGGGAACATCAGTCACCTTTCCCCCGGGACACCCCAGTTTAATTCAAACAGTTGGCAACCCTAACTGTAATAGTGTGGCAAACCAATTATTAAATATTTATCTCACATATTTGTATCGAGGTTGAAATATTTTAAAAGTGGATTAAAATCGTTCTCACACAAATTGGTAACACCTGCATTATCTTTTTAAAGTATTTAGAATATAATTAAACTAACGTCGCACCTGATGGTAAGACCATCCATCACTTATAACTATATACATGAACAGTATCACAAACATCATGTCGTCATGAGACAGTAATAATAATAATAATCTCAGGACAATTCACACAGCGCCATCTAGACCCAAGTTAAGCTAGCTAAAGCTTGTGTTATGGGTACTAGATAACTGATACAAATACATAGATAATTTTTTTTCGTAAATACATACATATTACACATAGAAAATACCCAGACCGATACAAACAATCATACTCATGAATACAAATGTTTGTGCCGTGCGAGGAATCGGACGTAAAGCGGTGTGCTAGACCGCTAGACCACCGAGGTCGTCATTCTACTCATGCGTTATCATCTTGAAGGACTAATTTCCCTAGCATATCTCACGCAATAAACTATAAAACCGCAATCTAGCTACAAAACAAGCTATTTTGTTGATGTGTAGTTGGCAGCTGAAATAAGTGAGAGTGAGAGTTTCCCACACAATGTCATACTATCGCAGTAAATCTGTTAAACACTTAATATTTCTAGGTAATATATTATTAGCTATTAAAGTACTCTTAATCAACTCCAAGATAAAAGATTTTTAATTAATTTGGTGACCACGTCTGCTACCAGGATGATGAGGTAGCAGACATGGTACATGGACACAGATACACGTTATCGTATGTAAAAAGTTATCGTATCTTCAAATCGGTTGATTTTGATGATTTTTTTAAAATTGCAATGGACGTTGTAGTCGTACATATAGACATATAGTAACTCGTTTATTTGTTAAATCAAAACAAATAGAAAATTAGGTACTTATTACCCAGTACCTATTTATAATATAATAGAA